ATGCAACAATTTGCTCCTAAAAATTGAAAAATTATTAAAAAAATCAAAAAATTTATAACCTATACCAAAAAGTTAAAAATTCAATTTTCTTTTTACTTTTTGTACATCTTTTCGTAAAAAACTAAAAAGTCATTCCAAACATATTCAGTGTGTTTGATTTTAGTTTTCTGAATTCAATTTTCTGGAAATTGAGTTTTTTATTTTGTGTTTTTTATATTTATTTTTAGTGAATATTTTTTAAATTTTAAGTAATTTTTTTTTACTTTTTAGATGCACCTTATTTAGATGTGCCTAAATAGTAAAATATTTGTGAAAAATATTTTTAAAAATTAATAAATACACAAAAATTCGAAAAATTGTAAAGATTTTTTCACAAATATTATACTTTTTAAGTGTATTTATGTTAGGTGTATTTAAAAATTAAAAAAAATCTTAAAATATTAAAAAATTCATTGAAAACAAAAAAAAAATACGAAAAATAAAAAAATAGAATTTTCTAAAAAGTGTTTTCTAAAAACCAAAACCAAACAAGTTGATTAGTTTTTTTTACCTTATATTTTAGTAAAAAATCATTAAAATAGTATGTTCCCAAACGAGAGCTAAATAAGTATTTAATCCAATGGTCATTTATAGTCGTTTAGGACTCTAGAAGAATTCGAAAGGTGTAGAATATTTTTAAAAAATACAAAAATAAAAAATAAATTCACTAGCAGTAGAATAGTTTGGAGAATTCTAAAATATAATGGAATGACAAAATGATTCTTAAATATTTTAGAATAATAATGATGATCATTTGATCAAATTGATCCTAGCCATCAATTAAGGAGATGAAAAACTATATAAAGAGAAAACCTCTCATTTATGAAACATTTTTTATAGTGAAATTGTTTTAGTCTTCCCCTAAGACCATCTCCAACGGTAAATTAGATTGATCACCAGATTTGAATTTGATGGAATAGTTTAGAGAATTCTAAAATATAATGGAATGACAAAGTGATTCTTAAATATTTCATAATAATAATGATGATCATTTGATCAAATTGATCCTAGCCATCAATTAAGGAGATGAAAAACTATATAAAGGGAAATCCTCTCATTTATGAGACATTTTTTAAAGTGAAATTGTTTTAGTCTTCTCCTAAGACCATCCCCAACAGTGAATTAGGTTGATCATCAAATTTGAATTTGATAAAAAATAACCATTTTTATCTCTCCAATGATTTCACCAATATCAAATTGAGAACGAGCCAAAACCTTCACCAAAATGAGGAGCTAGATCAGATTTCACCAAAATACTGTGTGTTTACGTTGGAGGTGGGTCCCACCAGACAACCGGCCGAACGTTCGGCCGGTTGTCCCACTAGTCGTTCGTTGCATACAAAAAATGCAAAGCTATTGTGTTCAGGCGAAAATGAGCTATATTCAGTTCTTTCTTGTATTGCTAAGCCTATTTCTTCGATCAAATTTGAATCAATAGGTATAGATTGTTCCCCAAATCTTGACTTGGGTTTGGAGAGCACTGACCTTGCCAGCGATAGGTACAGATTTTTTTACCATTGGAATTTATAAAAAATAATTAAGAAAGAAGACAAGAAAATAAAAGAAGAAACGTTGTACATATATATATATATATACAAATGATAGCAAGAAAAGGAAGATGCATTTGATAAATTTTTGGGATAAAGTGTAGTGACTTTCTGGGATGGTAGTAATGGAAAAAGGGTTTAGTTTCAGTAGAGCATTGATTCCCAAAAGCAATTGCTTTGTACTATATTTGTATACTTTTTACCTACCTACTAAAGATGTCCATAATATATATATGAAAGTAGCAATTTTTCAGCTTGAATAAAATTCACCCAGATTAGAACTGAGTTGTTTGCTGATTCTTTGAAATAGAAGAAATCAGTTTCACTGCGCGCGCGCACACACAGAGAGAGAGACATAAAGATTGATTTATGAGAAAAAAACAGAGGGTAAATCGGGGGATACTGTGTTCAGGTAAGAATTTGAAATACTCATTATGCTCTGCTTTAAGTTATGGTGTCTTCCAAATATAACGTACCTCTTGTCTGGCATATGGTACATGGATTGATGTGTTTATATCAGTTCTTAGAAGGAAATCATTATTGGAGGCAACAAAAAATGAAAAATATTTAATGGAGGGAAAAAGAAATAGGAAACGAATTGGGAAACAAAAATGGAGGGGAAAAAAAAAATATTTCAGTGCCTTGATGGGTCAACCGGCCGGTCGTCTCACCAGATGTCCCCAATCTTTGAATGCAAGCTACAGTACAACTGTTGGAGCGGCTCGTATCAGATTGAAGAACTTGCCTTGTTTTTACTCAGATTTTGTGAAAAAATTGGTAAATCATTGGAAATGCTCTAAAGGATTTTGCTGTTTTGATCTTCCTCTAAAGGCTTTGCATCATAAAAGACATTTCATTTTAGTTCTCCACAAATAATTAACATCCATTGCTAGGCAAATGATCTTCCGCTGTTGTGCCTACGTCTGCTTGTTGTATCTCTGCTTGCTTGCTTCATATTTACTATTTCTTATTTGATCTAGCCCATTTGATTTTTTGAAAATATTACCCTTGAAAGAATATTATCATTTAAAAATATAATTATGTAAAAATATTATTTCAAAAATAATTTAATAATATATTTTAAAAATAATTTTTTGTAAATATCACGTCAGTAACCATGTCAACACTAATGTACAATATGTCACAACAATATTATATTTTTTATTTTAAAAATTAAACCCCCATGCACGTTGCGCGTGGGGGTCATTCTACAGTTTGAATAAAAATATTTTTAAAACAGTATTTGGTTTATGAATACACGAAATGAAATGCAATTATATTTTATATTTCATTTGTTGCGGTGTTCCATATTTGTTCATTAAGGGGTTGTTTGGAATGTCCTAAATAAGTGTACTTTTTGACTTTTTGGACTAAAAAGTTAAGGAAAAAAATATTGTTGTTTGGGCTAACTTTTTGACTTTTTATGGAAAAATGTGTATTAAAAAATTGTATAAATTAGTGTGTAAGGAAAAATTAGAATTGGGAGTTGTGCAGTCGTACTTTTTGACTTTTGGTAAATAGTAATAACTTTTTAACTTTTTGACTTTTTGGGCACATGCCAAACTTGGCCTAATTATTATTTCTCAAGATCTTTTATAGTTGTTGACTTGACACAGATAAATTGCAACATAGAAGGCCTGCGTTGTAGCACAAGTATTAATCGATAAATAGTGAGAGAATTATTTCATGTAATTTGGGTAAATAGCGCGTTTCAAAGAGAGGAAAAAACATAAACTTGTGTTTTGAATTATTTTGTGAATATCACTATTCATGTAGAAAATCTTGCAATTATTGTTTACTGAATTGTTTTGGGTGAAGGACATATTATATGCATCTTAGCTTTATTTGCCTAACATGTACTATTATTCTAAACAGAAATTTACTGCTATACTTGAGTTGGAGTTGGAGTTGTTTGACATGGAGATTAGTACATTAAACTCCTATAGAAAGTAGTCCCTCACCTTAAAAATCAATGTCCACTTTTGATACAACAAAGAATAATATATAGACAACAAGAACTACTTACATAAAAACAAAAAGAATTAAAGATTGATCGTGAATCTTTACTTTTGATTAATGGTTTTGTGAATGTGTGTGAATCTTCACTTTTGATTAATGGTTTTTTGTGAATGTGTGTGTATGAGAGAAAAAGAGAGAGAGCACTTTTGACAAATTTAAATTAGGTCCACTGTACAAAAAAAATTGTATGATTCTTTTGAAGGAGAAACAAATTTTCATTAAATGAAGAAAAAATAAAATTTACATCAGATTTTCAACCCATTTTTTCATCACTTAAATAAGAAAAAATAAAATTTACATCAGATTTTCAACCCATTTTTTCATCACTTAAATGCCATAAAATTATCAAAACATAAAGAGTCGGACACATCTTATAAATAATAAAGTTAATTATCTAAGAGCTATATTTACAAATATTAGAGTATTATTTTGTCAAATTCTGTTGTTGTCCAGCTTATTGTCATCTAAGCTGTATAGTTAGATAATTGTAATTATGAGGTGATGGGTGGTCCCATGTGTTTCATATGCCCCTAAATTCTCTCTCTCTCTCTCTCTCTCTCTCGGTCCACTGTAAAAAAAAATTGTATGATTCTTTTGAAGGAGAAACAAATTTTCATTAAATGAAGAAAAAATAAAATTTACATCAGATTTTCAACCCATTTTTTCATCACTTAAATGTCATAAAATTATCAAAACATAAAGAGTCGGACACATCTTATAAATAATAAAGTTAATTATCTAAGAGTTATATTTACAAATATTAGAGTATTATTTTGTCAAATTCTGTTATTGTCCAGCTTATTGTCATCTAAGCTGTATAGTTAGATAATTGTAATTATGAGGTGATGGGTGGTCCCATGTGTTTCATATGCCCCTAAATTCTCTCTCTCTCTCTCTCTCTCTCTCTCATAATGGTTTATTCTAAGGACTTTAAAGGCTTACCATTTTTTTGGTCTTTGGAGATTGGCACTCATTGTTTTGTTAGAAACTGTAATATGTTTAGTTGTTTTTCAAATTTAGTTGTCTTTGGAGACTACTGCTGGATATAATAAATCTAAAATTTAGTTGTTAGGAATAGAGGCTATCTTGGTGGCTGCATTTTTTAGATTGTGGTGGCAATCTAATATGTTTTTTCTCTTACCTGTTGGAAAAGGTACAGTTAAGAGAGTCTTTGGAATTTGGCTGACTTGAACATCAAGTTGTTTTTCATCAAAACTATAGTTCCATCCTTATATTTTCTTCATCCGAACATAAACAGGTGGACAGTTGAACAATTTAAATTTCATAAACATATCAAAACATAGACAATTGGACATTTTCATGGATGAGCAATTAAAAGCACCACACACATAAGCTGAGCTAAGTTTGTAAAAAGGCTGTAGGAAATACAATGGAAGACATAAATATATTCTTCGAATTTGATAGGCTTCCAACAGGTTAATTATATAGAAACTCTTTCATTATCACTGAATATCACTTCAGAACAATACATTTAAACCATAACAACTATTTAAAGATGAATAATTAAATCAATAGAAAAGATACAAACATTTCCCTGAAAATGAAACATTTTTATAGTTAATGAATCCAAATGTACCAGTTAAGTTCATTTTTCAAGGAAGGCCTGTTCTGTTTAGATGGCAGCCGCATAGAAATAGGTTTGGATTTGAATTCCGAGTCTATTTACATGTTTGCGTCTGTCCACTTCCTATTCAAGGCAAACCAAAGAAAAAACACCAAAATCCAAAGCCAAATTCAAGACATGTAGATATAAAACTGCACACCAAGACAACTTTACAAGAAAAATCATTTCAGAATAATAATCATTCCAATCAATGAGGGAATTCAATTTTATTCCATGTTTTTTGCATTGGTTGTCTTCTCTATGATTCCAATATGTTGCTTTATTTGCCTAACATCTACTACTATTCTGACCAGAAGACATACTTCAATCTGATCAAAAGCTCAAACTATTTTACACTTGAGTTGGAGTTGGAGTTGTTTGACATGGAGGTTAATACATTGAACTCGTATAGAAACTGGTGCCTCACCTTAAAAAATTTCTGTCCTTAGAAATTTTCTATCGTATTTTATATCATATTATCTATTTGATTATACATGTTGTGAACTACAAAATGGGTAATCAGTTCCACATTTGTAATTAGTTTCTTTTACAAAAATTCTGCAGAATGGGTAGCCAGCCAAATGCAAACAAAAAGTCACCAGGCAATGTTCACATAAAGGGGCAACCAATTCAGCAGAAGACCAATTGCTGCATGGTAAGGCTACGCAGCTTGTTAGCAAAAAAACATCTATTGACTGAAGCATCACATATGGATCTCTAACAAACTGTTTGAACACTCTAGCAGTAGATCTTTCAAAACATTTCTTTTCTTTTCTGTTCAAAGAGAAGGAAATGAAAAATTGTAGTTGTTCATAGGTAAAGGTTCCAACAAAATGGATTGTGAAGAAAACCAAGCTTTCGCATCACCTGGGTGAATGTGTGCTGTACACTTTTGTAAATGAATGAATAATATATGTCAATATTCAGGTCAGTAGTGATGGATATGAAGGGTCTAACAATTAGAATGAATAATGGTTATTTTGTAGGTGGGAGTTGAGGATGGGTTGGTTGAATTATTATGTTGTCATACCACCAAATTTGAAGGATTCCGTGCTCGTTAATTCGATACAAAAAATAAAGTTCATTCAATAATCATATAATCAGATTATATTTGTCTTTAAATAATTCTTGGAATATATATATATATTATTCACAATCATACTTGTTATTTATTTTTCTAAATATGATCAACCTTCTAGTTGAATAAATGAATGAAATAGCAGAACCAATTCCAATCATTTCCAGAGGAAAGTAATTTGATTCACTTCCTGAAAATAGTCTACACAAGTAGCAAGTGAGTTTCATGTGGCAGCCATCAATTCCACATTATGAGAGAGAGAGAGAGAGAGAAAGGGAACTAATCACATTTAAAAACAAATAGCACAAATTAATTCTCAATTCCCAATAATATTTGGGAATACACATTTAAAAACACATAATTTTAGCACAAAATCAACTCTAAAATCAACAGCAATTAGAAGACTTATTTTGTAGTTGAGAATAAATCAAATTAATCTTGTTGTTCCTCCATGATATCTGTAACATATATTAAAACCAGGTAAGTGTGTTGCAGCCATGAATTCCACATCATGAGAGAGAGAGAGAGAGAGAGAGAGAAAGGGAACTAATCCCATTTAAAACCAAATAGCACAAATTGATTCTGAATTCCCAATAATATTTGGGAATACACATTTAACAACACATAATTTTAGCACAAAATCAACTCTAAAATCAACAGAAATTAGAAAACTTATTTTGTATTTGAGAATAAATCAAATTAATCTTGTTGTTCCTGATTGATATACGAATATTATTGCTGTCAAGAGGGTCCAATTCATCTTCGAAGAGGATCCACTACACGATTTGGTCTTAGATGAAACCTAATTTACTTCTGGAAGTTGCTTTTAGAATCCCAAAAAAATTTAATCCATTTACCCAAAGAAACCTTTCACGTTTTGGGTTTTTAATTGCATCTTCTTAACCCTTTGGGTTTTCATTTTTTAATTCTATCATTAGAATGTTGGTTCTGTTTATAGAAAAATCAATGGAATTCTTTTTTTTATGATTTAATAAATTTCTACAAATCTAGCCATAGATGGAGATGATTAATGAGAAATGATTTTTGTTGTCAACCCTTAGTAATTGTGACAATAGGCTTTCTTAGATTGAATTGCTTATAGATTGAATTTTTTGTGAGAAATTAGTCTAATAGTTAGAGCTTGACTGTACATCTAAGAAGTTTGAATGGTGTGCATGTTTGTTGTTTCCTTTCCTACACATAATGATGAATGCGAATTTGTCCTACATATAAAAGGAAACAACAAACATGCACGCCATTCAAACTTCTTAGATGTACAGTCAAGCTCTAAATATTTGACTAATTTCTCACAAAAAGGTTTGATTATAACCTGTAAATTAAGCAAAGTCACAAATAAAAGACCAAAAAAAGTAAGAGCTGTTGCTTGCTCTTTACTACAAAGACTACTATTTTAAAACAGGTCAAATTTTCTCAAACTATTTCTATTGATGACAAATCTGAAAAGAGCAAGAAAAGAGCAAGAACATATTCAACCACTGGTTTAAGGCTATCAAAGCAAACTAAAACATCAGAGTGTGCAGCAATGTATACATTCAATGAGAAAACAGCTCCAAATACTAACTCAATTTCTAAAAATGTCGTGTTAATGACAGCCCTATGGGCGTACAATAAGACAGAGATATGCCAAAATAGTTAGAACTCTAATGCACTTTTCACGCATCCTCAAATAATTTTACATATTTTATATGAGCAATGCTAAACAAAATAACAAATCTCATAAATTTTTCCTCACTAATGCGAAGAACACAGAATTAGAACACAGATGGGTCACAGAAAGCATATTGACAAGCTGAGATTTATTCTTCATGTGGATCTTTCCATAACTGGGTTTGATGCCAACCTTCCATTGTCTTTTTTGTGAAGTAATAGAGCATCTCCAACCCTTCACCAGTTTTTTCATCTAATTTGATTCCAAATTTGAGTAAAAAACTTGATTTGATATGAACCACTCCAATCCTTTCATCAATTTTTTATCAAAATCTTTTTAAAAATTCTTCTTTCATCCCAAATTTCCCTTTTCCATCAAATTTGATAGGGGGAAAAATCATTTTCAATGCTTCATCTTTTAAAATTTTCATCAAATTCAAATTTGATAAAAGATTTGATAAGAGTTCTCAATTTGATGAAAAAAAAATGTCTCTCCTTAATTTGATAAACATTGGATGAAAGGATTGGAGATAATTTTTAAGCACTTTTCCACCAAATTTAAATTTTGTGAAAGACAAGGTGAAGAATTGGAGATGCTATGTAATTTATTTTGTGTTCCAAACATTGCCAATTTTTCTTACTAACTATATGATATCTATACCATATTATTGAAGTAGGTCTTATTCTAATTTTCAAAGATTTATTAATTAGTATAATATTTTTTTATATATACATTTTTTACATATTTCATTACAACTATTTACAGTGGCTAATGCTATCTTTTTGAAAAATCATAAACATTTTCCTTTTGTAGGATATAACAAGAAAAACTTATGTGTCACAAACATCATTATTTCTTATAAATTAGTACATGTACATGCTATATTGATGCCTATGACACTTAGTATTCTTTGGCTGAATAAGAATTTATAATTCTATGCAGTGAAATGGGTACACTAAAGACACTCAATAAATTAATCATATAGCATGTACATGTAGTAATTTATAAGAAATAATGATGTTTGTGACGCAGAAGTTTTTCTGAACACTTCATCTTACATGGTTTTAGTCACTCAATCAATCCTATTTAGTTTATGTGCACCTGTAAAACACGATAGAAAATTTTTAAGTATAAAAAATTTTTAAGGTGAGGCACCATTTTCTATAGGAGTTCAATGTATTAACTTTCATGTCAAACAACTCCAACTCCAACTCAAGTGTAAAATAGTTTGAGCTTTTAATATGTCTCTTGATTGGATTGGAATTTTCAGCGTAGAAAATTGGATGGGTCTTCTTTTTTGTTCAGAACATTCAGCAGCCGAATTCCTCAATGATATATTAACAAACACATGGTGTGCGTACCAAGAAGAGAACCGACAGATATACAAAATAGTAACACAGTTTTTGTTGCGGATCGGGGGCACACCAGGGAACTCAAACAAGCAATAACACACAAGATTTAACGTGGTTCGGCAAGTCGCCTACGTCCACGGGCAGCGAATTCACTATATTGAACAAAATGGTAAGAATTACAATTATCTCTGTAATTCTCTCTCTCTTTGCTCTCTAAGCTCACACCTCTCAGCTGTACTACAACTCTCCTTAGCTTCTCTATATATAGAGATTACCAATGCTAGAGTAATTGAGCTGGCTGCCAGCCCATTTCGGTGGCTTTCCAGATTGAGGCTTCATGGCCTCATGGCCAACTCACATGGCCTCATGGCTTCCCCACCATGTAGCTGGCTGCTACTTTCCTTCACATGGCTAGAATCTGTAGCCAACTCAACAGTTTTAAATAGTAGCAATCACATTAGAAATATACGAAATCACAGGTGTACGTACCAGGATTTGCAACTGCAGGAGTAGAGCTTTGGATGCCAAATTTTCACAGCGTTACGGCACGAAGAGGACCGACAGTTACGGCAAGAAGAGGACAACAAGCACTCCTTCGAGAAGATATTTATATCATATATATATATATATCTCTTGTGAGAAAGCCCATCTTCGAAGGAGCAAATTTTGTTTTCTTCTTCCTTGTCGGTCAACCAAATGTGCTACGGAGGAGCTCTGGGAAATAGAGAACCGAAGACCACCGTTTTGGAGGTTAGGCATGTTTGGTAGAGCTTATAAGCTGTTTATTTTATCTTTTAATTTAATTTAAGTTAAAATATTGTGTTTGGTGTAATTTAAATTAATTAGCTTATAGCTTAAATCAAGTTATTTCTCTGCTTATCTCAAAAGCTGATCAGAGGTGCTTAAATTTTTTACTTAAGCGCGCAGCTGATGTGGGGCTAAAATTACTTAAATGCACTCGTAAATACTCAAATATTAATATTAATATTAATTAAAAAATAAAAAATTATATATTTCTAAAGAGAAAGAAAGAAAATCAATATTAATTGAAAAATAAATATTAATTGGTATTAATTATTAATAAATTCATATTGCATATTTTTATATTAATTAAAAAATAAAAAATTGTATATTTCTAAAGAAAAAGAAAAAAATCAATATTAATTGGTATTAATTATTAATAAATTAATATTGTATACTTTTGTAATGAATTAATTATTAATTGATACTAATTAATAACAATTGTTGATTATTAATATTAATTGATACTAATAAAAATTAAATATTAATATTAATTTATACTAATTAATAATTTTAGTATTAATTGATACTAATTAAGCAATTAATTGATACTAATTAATTTATAATGGAAAATAATTATGACAATAATACTTCCATTACATTTTTAGCAAATATATCAACTTTTATATTAATTGATACTAATTAATTCTACTTATATTAACTTTTATTAATGAAATATTTTTTAAAAAAAAATTAAAACTGAAAAAAATGACAAAATAATCATTTTTATATCATATAAGGGCAGAAAAGGACAATTATACAGTAAAAAGTTATTTTACAGCTTATTAACCAAACACTACTCTACTGCTTAAATCCATAATCCCACAGTTGCACCAAACATGTTAACAATTTATGTTCACAGCTATAAGTCATAATCTGTTAAGTTATAATCTATAATCACTTTTCTACAGCTCTACCAAATGGGGCCGATTTACCAAATGGGGCCGATTTCTAGGATGAATGATCTTGGAAATGAAGCAGCAGCAGAACGAGAGTGGGCCTTTTTACAGACTGAATAATAGAATTTGTTTGTTTCTGTGTGTGGCCCAGCCGAACAACACGTAGGCAACCCAAATCTAGAAAAAGCAAAGAAGCAATAAGAAACAAAGAACCCATAGACTTACAACAGAGGAGGCAGATACACAAAACGTAACACCATGTGTTACACCACACTTACCTGCTTTTAATATATGTTATAGATTTATAGTATTTTCTATTTTAAAAATTAAACCCTGGCCATCCTGTTATTGGAGTAGATCAGCCCCCAATTCTCGGAGCAGTAGGTATATAATAAGTATGAAGATATATCTAAGGTATATAATAGTATGAAGATGTATCCAATTTATATATATTTCTTAAATATTAAAATGTGGATCTCAATGTCAGTCACATCATTATTGTTTCAAATTACATCATATCATATATAATAGAGATGTAAATATATGAATGTGGAAAAATTATCAACGTAATATGTTTTTACAATTCTATTAATTACATGATTGCTAAAATATTTTAACATCTAACTATTCAACTATTAAAACATTACCTATCTTAAAAATAAAAGAAATAAAAACTATTAAAACATTAAAGATGGTCTAAGAAATATGTTATTTGGCTAGCTTTTGCAAATTTTTTTGAAATTAATATTCTTATTTTTATTTAAGTAATTTTTATTAACTTATAAACAACAAGCGAGCACAACTGCATTAATAAAATGTACCAACCATAGAATTATGGAAGGAGCAGAAATATCAGAATGGCGTCGTATGAGATGTTTTCTGGAAAAAAAACCATGTTTTGAAATACGAATCAGATTAGCCGATTCAATCAGTTGAATCGGTGACCGAGTGAGGTTTCGGTCTGATCGATCCTCTTAAACCGTTCAAGTGAAAAAACGGTGTATTTAAAGAGAATCGGTGAACCGGTTGACCTGCTCACGGGTTAATTGAACCGAACTGGTTTGATTATGATACATATATAATTTTTTTTTTCTAGATCTACTTTTCTTTTTCGTTTATGATCTTCCAGGAGCCATCTAGGGCTTCTTTGCAAGTCTTTTTCTCTCTCTCAAGCAACCGATCTATCTCTCTCTAGTTTTTGCGTCAATCATCATCATCATCACCACACCATTAACAAATCAAGTTCTTAACTTCACACACAGATTCACCACCACTGCTGCTAAAGAATTTTAGCCTCGAGCCTCCAGGTACTACTTTTGTGTAATTTGTAGGGCTACTTATGCTGTGTTTGGTTGAGAAATTTCGAAAGAAAAATAGAAAGATAGTTGAATTGTGAATAAAATATACCCACATTTCACAAACATTTTCTCTTTCCAAATCCCTCCCCAAATTTCTCAACCAAGCATAGCATTAGTGATCTTTGATTTGGTTTGAGGGGGTTGATGAATCTTTGATTTCCTTCTTGGTTTTTTAAAAAATTGGGGGCTACTTTGGCGGTCGTTGTAGAAAGTGGTGAGATGGTCAGTGGTGGTGCCGTAGTTTGGTGTCTGGTTTGATGGTTAACTGCCTGGTTTTATTATTATTTTTTTCACTGGTAATGGAAAATTGTTGCAATAATCAATTTGTGGGTAATAAGAGTAAAAAAATAGTTGTTGCCTTGAAAATCTTAGGTCCTTTTCACACACACACATATATATATATATACATATACATATACGTATACGTTTTCTTAGTATATATGTAGATATTTGTGATTAACAAACAAATAAACATCTATTAGTATAATGTTAGATGTATTGACTTTGTTATTCTTTGTAAGTTTGCAAGAAGAAGCCTCTGTTTTCCTTTTACTATCTCACAGAAAATTACCCCAAAAAAAAAATCCTCTACTTGAAGAAGCCTCTGTTTTCCTTTTGTTACATGATATAATTGATTATTGTATTGAATCTGATTTCTTTTTTTTAATTGAGTCTCTGAATCTGAACTGTAATATTTGAACATTGATAATAGATTAAACAACCTAGGCTCTAGTGCTAATGCGAATGAGAATGATGATGACTGGCTAAATTATCGTCCCTAGGAGATTTAGGCAAAATCAAAGATTGTTTGTGATGTTGTGTTATGTTGAACTTTTTTTTTTAAGAATGATGTCATGTTGTAAACATCTTTTACATTTGTTGCTTGAGATTTATGTTTTATGTTTGTAAACTTTGTACTTTGTGACTTGCAGGTTTATTTTATGTCAGTTTGCACTTAGTTTTGTCTTTTTTGTAACTTATGTTTTATGGATTGCTTTAGTTGGATGCTTTCATAATTTTTATTACTATGATTGTTGTTTTTAATAGCTAAATTTTCATCTTTAATTTTATTTGTTGTTAGTATGTGAAGTGTTATGACTTATATTTAGGATTTCTTTTTTAAAAATATAGAAAAACATCACTAAAAATATTTAGGAATTTTTTAAAAAAAAATTGAAAATTTAATATTTACATTGTTAATTTATATTTTTTAGAAAATTATTTATGACATAATTATGACATCACGGTTCGATCCGGTTCAACCCAATGGTTGAACCAGTGACCCGTCTACCCGATCCTTTTCCAGTTCACTCACCGGTCCGGTTTTTAAAACCTTGAGGTCATGTTTGATTCACAATACTAATAGTGAGGTATTAATAATCCTATTAAATTAGTGTGGTATTAACTATCCCACCCCTACCCCATTACTAATAATCCTACAAATTTGTTAGATTAATTATCCATTGGATTAATAGTCCTAAATCAAAATGTCAAAACAAACATAGGATGATTGGGCCCACAGATTAATAATCCTAATCCCATACTTTAATCCTTCCAATCAAACGTGCCCCGACGGTGACACCTCTTGCCCCTCTTTCTCTCTTCTATTCTAGTTCAGTTTGAAGGTTTTTGAATTGTTGTGAGGAGATGAGGTAGGGATCTCCAGCAACCAAATCTATGGACAATTCCAAGGTTCAAGAGGTAAAAAGCTCATATCTCTCTCTTTATATATATTTTTATGTCCATATCTATCTGTATGTTTGTTTGTTTGGTACATTTGCATTTTCAATTATTGAGTCTCCAATTTGCAGATCATAGAGAAGCAAGTCTTGACGGTGGCCAAAGCTGTCGAAGACAAGATCGATGACGAGATACATGCCCTAGATCGCCTCGATCTCGATGATATCAATGTCCTCAGAGAGCGTTGCCTCCAACAGATGAAGAAAATGACAGAGAAGCGGAGTCGTTTGATCGCCCTCGGCCATGGCGAGTACTCCGAGATCCCCGCCGAAAATGACTTCTCCTCCGTTGTCAAAGCCAGCGACCGCGTCGTCTGCCATTTCTATCGCGAGAATTGGCCTTGCAAGGTATTCATATCTCTGTCTTTTCTTTTTTCAATTAGGGTTTATAGGTTGATTTGATGTCAACATAAAATTAAATTGTTTGGTTGCTGAGAAATTCGCTCCCAGGATGATTTTCTGTGAGAAAAAGTATTCAAATGTTAATTAGGCCATCTCAAAATTTTCCTCAAATTTGAGTAAAAGGTTGAATAATGGTAGATTGGTAAATTTTGAGTAAACTCAATTTGGTATAAGTTTGGGTCAAGGAGTGGAGTGTGTTTTTTGAGTATTTTTACCCAAATATAAATTTGATATAGGTTTGAGTTAAAGGATTGGAGATGCCTTTGCATATGCAAAGTGTGTAGGGCTATAAAACGGATCAAGTTACTTTCGTTCGGCTCCTCTTTAGCTTTTCAAAATTGGCTTTCTGTGTTAACAATCCAAACTTCAATACACTTTAAAACTCATTAAGTTATCGAGACAATGACTCAATAAGCTTATATGCACTGTAAAAACCCAAACTAGTTAAAGCTTGGTTCATTGTCGATTTTATTGAAGCTTGTTTGAGATTTACTGATCAACAAATCAAATTTGAACACATTTTAAAATTCGTTAAGATTTCAAACTAAACATCAATAGTCTAAATGTATGATTCCATTTCAGGACCAATAAAAAAGGGTATGATTCTTTTTTTTAAATATAGTCAATTAGGGTTTAGGGTGTCAACGATAACAGAATCTTGTTTTTTTAGCCAATGCATAATCATGATGAGCTAATAACTAAAAGACGCATTACACATCATGAGCCAATAGTTTAGAAGATTTGTTTGTTTCATGAGCCAATGCATAATCTATCTTTATTCCCTAGGGCCAAGTAAAGATTATAATCCTAATTTGTCCCAAAATGAACCACTATGTTGAAGAACCCAATCCTTTTTGACAGGCACAAACTTTTTAGTCCCAATATCCCCCTTGGATTAACATAAAAATCACAATTATACTTCCAGTAACTATTCTTCTGTGCAAGTCCTGTACTTGAAAGTTTAAAATGAACTATATTAGCCTTTGAATACAGTTTCCCCATTCTCTTTCATTATTTGCCGAAAATCTGATGGGTTGCATATGGTTAGAAGGATCCACCCATATAAGTATCTATGAAATGAAGGAATGGGACCTAGAGAGATAAGTTTTCTATCACCTGTTTGGTACATTTGTTATCATGGACTGCCTTTGTAAATGCCAAGATAAGGAGTATACACCTTGTAGTTGAACTAGTTTCAAACACATGCACTTGCTCCTGACAAAGAGGCAAATTCTGCATTTGCATGAGATTCATTATATTATTATAAATATATTGCATATACACTATATATATATATATATTCAAAATGATATATTGTTTTTATTTTTTTATCCACCATTACAAATTACAATATATTTTCATTTTTTCCATTCACTGTGGATGGCTTTTTTGTACTGTTCTAATTTCATTAAAGTGATTGTTTTGTTGAAATTGTTTGTGGCTCATTTCTGGGAATAAACAAAATTGAGCTAGATATGTGGTAATCACAGAGGGAAGGCCTTGCGTCATGGTTTTTTTGTCTGTTGAAGTGTCAGGTATTTAACTGTAATGTATTTTATAGAGTTCCTGGCAGAGGAAAGAATGTTGTCTAAATCAAATTTTGATGTGTTGGATAAACAGTCTTTGTTAAACAATTCTTCATAGCTGAATGCACAACTATTTGAGTATTTGACCACACTTCAGTATAAGGTTGTGCACCATCTTAATGGTGTTTTTTTTTTTTTCCCCCCCTTTAAAATGATGGGTATGGTTGACTGATTTAGGGATTATTTGAAAGTAGTGTGTAGATTTCCAACTTGTAAAGCAAACACCAATGCTTCTGGTTTAATTGCAGGCGATGGACAAGCACTTGAGTATATTGGCAAAACAGCACATAATGACATGTTTCGTGAAAATACATGTTGAGAAAAGTCCATTCTTGGCTGAGAAGCTCAAGATTGTTGTCCTTCCAACCCTTGCCTTTGTAAATAGTGCCAAAGTGGACGATTACGTGGTAGGTCCAAAGGAAGGTTACACAAATCATTAATAAAACCAATTTAGAAAATAAAATTGATGTTTTGTTTAAGTTACAATCTTCTACTTAATGCACTGTAGGTAGGATTTAATGAGCTTGGTGGGACGGATGAGTTCAGCATAGAGAAACTGGAAGAGAGGTTGGCTAAAGCTCAAGTTATCTTTTTTGAGAGCGAATCATCTCTAAATCCATCAAAGTCCAGTGCAAAATCCAGGAGCGTTAGACAAAGCTCAAATTCGCACTCGTCAGGTTCAGATTCTTAGTAATATTACATAGATTGCCTCTTGTTGTAATTCCCTTTGCTTTTTGGTGTGAAGAGTCTGCTGTGAGGCTTGACATCATCATCCTATCTTATATTTAGAGAACTTGAAAGAGTGTTTCAGGGGCCATTGGAAGTTGGTATTATTATCAGCTTATTTTGGTTCGAAATTCAGTTGGTTATGTAAGATCCATTCTATCACCTCAAAACCATCCCTTGGATGGTTATCGCGTGTGATTGTGTTCCTTTCTATCAATTTGATTTTGCTTCGCATCTGGGTTACAAATTTTTGCTTTGAGGGACCTTATGCTAATTTGTCATTTCTCTCCTTTCTATGATTGCATATTTTTTAATGCTTAAAGAATGCCATTCTCTTCCCTTTTTCTTTGAATGAGATTGAAATTTTAGTTTATTGGTGTCTAGAAATTATGGTGATTAAGGAAAACTTGGTATAAAGCCATCAGTTTTTGGTTCAATGGTGATGAGTCACTGCGATGGTTATAGCAGGCCTCGTTTTGCTCGACTTGAGCAGGCTTAGCCAGAGTCTAGCTTGGTCAATTCCCTCTCTACATTTTTGGTTGAGCTTGGACCCCCCACCGCCAAGAAGGGAAAACATGTTCAATTAGAGGACCATCGAAACTGTCCATTTTGTGGTCGATTGGTTCAGACCTTTTGGTTTTGGCCGGCCCAGCCGAAAGAACACTATGTTGTATTCTCACAACAATCAAAGTAAAGCATCTCTTACTTTGTCAAATTTTGGTTTTTTAAGAAATTCAAATATTTTCATTTAAGGGTTGGGCTTCTTTCAATTGAGAGAGATTAGGATTGAGTAAAATTTAACAAATCTAATAAAGAGAGAGATTAGGATTGTGTAAAAATTAACAAATTCAATGACAAGCCCTATTGTGATTTTTTAATAAATCTTAAGTAATTTTGTTTTATTTAATATCTAAATAAACTTTTGATCTCCCATGCATAGCATGAGTTTTATATGCTAGTATTCCATATAAAATAAATAAATTGAGAAAATTACATAGACCTCACAAAAGAGGGCAGTGCAGTGCTTTAGGCATTGATTCAATTTGAAGCAATATGTCACGTCCCGTCAAATTACTTAGACAGAATTGCCTACCAAGAGGAAGTCTCAAGGAAGGAAGGCTAATGGAATATTCTAGAAGCCCTTGGAAGACTTGGGAAATTTGGGAATATGGTACATAATTCTATAATGTACACGGAAGAATCTAATGGAATATTCTGGAAGCCCTTGGAAGACTTGGGAAATATGGGAATATGGTACATAATTCTATAATGTACATAGAAGAATCTAAGAAAAGGTTCTAGAGTATTCAAGTGAATATTAGAGGGATGGAGGCAATAGAATCTTCTAGAACCTCCTAGAAAAGTGGAGGTGGTAAAAAATTCTTGTACCTGCTTTTAGAATGAGGTAGATGTTTGTATAGATATTTTTAGGGAGGATTCTAGAGCCCTCATGTAGGGTAAGGAAAGCTTCCATAAGAAGCTTCTTCATAGTCCTTTTCTTGTATGCTCTGCAATAAATAGGAGAGGGGCCCATTTGCTCCATCAATGATCCAAGAGTTGTAAAGCTTTCTCAAAGTGAAATACTGAAAAATTCTAGAAATCCCCTAGATGTTGATTTGTGATTATGTATCAAATTTAAGCAGAATAAAACAATCCCAATCAAACAATCAAGACAAAGAGACACAACGATTATAACGTGGAAAAAATCACAATTGGACACCTCCAATTGTGATAAAAAAACCACGGGCAACTGCCATAAGAACAATCCACTAAGAAGATTTAAAGGAATTACACAGGTATACTCTCAATTACCTAGCGAATCCACAACGCCTAAGTGAACCAACCTCTATGTGCCTCTTCCAACCCCATCTTCACCACGGAATTGTCTTTCTGATGAGCCACTCCGGATTCCACCAAAGCTTCAGGCTCGAACTCTTCAGAATCCACAACTGAAGAACAACTCTCTCTTTTGTGTATAACAAACAAACCTTTGATGTACTCTCTTTAAATCATGAGTTGAAAACCCAATAAAAACATCAAAGAAAACTAGCAAAATCTCTCCAGATATAAACCTTAAGATCCAAAAATAAGATCTGGAGAAGTTCCATCAAATTCCTTAGTTTTGGGAGAAAACTAAGTATTTATAGAGAACCAAAAGTAATCCTAGATTCAGAAGAAAACCACCTCTTTAATCAAATCTGGAAATCTGGGATCGCGCGGTCCGCTCGAGCTCAACACAGCCCGCTCGAGCGGACTGACCAAAAACTGCGTGTGAACAAACTGAGATGCGCTCGAGCGTAGGAGAATCCGCTCGAGCGTAAAATCACACCCACCAGTATTTTTGCTTGCCCTGACAAAATACTGAGACCTGCTAATCTACGCTCGAGCTCACAAGGCTCCGCTCGAGCGGACAGAACAAAAACACAAAAAAATTACAATTGAATCAACACAATGTTTTGTCTCTGGATTTGACAACATAGGTAGTACCTTCTCTGAAAAAGCACAATTTGGGTTGGATTCGCATCTAAACACTCATAGCCTCACTGAAATAAAAGTGCGAAAAAAAATACAACTGAAAGGAGTTTTGTCAAACGGGATTGCCAAGAATAAAACCTAACAATCTCCCCCTTTGGCAATGCCGTGACAAAACACGCCTAACAAATAAAATCCTAAACACCCCAACCCATTACAGCCAACAAAAGCCAACTTTCTCAAGGTCATGATCTGCAAAACAGTTGTTAGTGCCACAATCTCCAAAAAAACTATTAGTCCCACAAGAGTATATGAAAAAACAATAGACATATGACACGATTATCTTGAAACATGAGATGGAAAACATGAATAGATGAAAACTAAGACTCATGAAAAACAACTCTCAAACAACAAAAGCAAGACCATAAACCACACAAGCAATGATATGACGATGTAAATACCATGAACATACAAGAAGGGTAAATAGTGCATAGCAACATGCAAAATATATAGCCAATATCAAAAGCCAACATATCAAAGTGTTCATGCTAAACAACTCTTGCAATGAGAAACCAAACTCCCCCTTACTAAAAGCAACCACAAACACTAAAAACAGTGAACAAAAAGAAAACGATAAAAAATAATATGGTGGAGTAAGTAAGGAATTTCAGATTAGTACCTTAAAACACATAAGATTATCCAAGAAGCACCATTACAAGAAAACACAATGTGCACAGTCTGTAGAAGATTCCTCATGCAAGAAAGTGATGCATTATGTGAAAAGCATAGATCCCATGATAAAAGTGTGTG